GAGAGAGAGAGAGAGAGAGAGAGAGAGAGAGAGAGAGAGAGAGAGAGAGAGAGAGAGAGAGATGCAACCATAATATCACATGGCGTCGGCACGTGGCAACGACCTGCATACACCATCTCATCCACATATTCCGCCCCCCTCTGTCGAATCGCTACCCCTGTTCGTCGCCGCAAACGCTTGTGTCTTCTGGCACGGGCCCGCTCCCCATGAACCCACGCCCCCGAGAACCTTATGAAATACTTCCAACGAGCCGCACTCCAACAAGATAGCGTGCTGAGTGTTCGCGCTCGTGTGGAGCGCACTGCAGCACCCGTACCCCAGAGTAGTTAAGGGAAGGTGTCTACTGATACCTGTTCCAGTGGTGCTCGCAATCTTATCCTCGTCACACACCGTCGGTTTCCATGACACCCTGTCCTCGAGCAGCGGATAAAAATTATAAGGTGGTTGAGGGCTGCTGTCGCCTTGCCAGTGCCTGCTGGAACAAAGACGGCGGGCGAGCTCGCGCTGGTACAAGATCTCCAACACGCCCACTCGGGACCCGATTTTATACCTGAACTGTGGAGGCATGTTCGTCTTCAGGTCGGCCAACACGCCACGCAGCACGCCGTCATCTGGAATAGCCATTCTGCAACACAACTCAGTGACCTCATGCAGTGGGGTCAAGCCCTCGTTCTTCATATACTGTGCGAGCAAGAACGTGCGGAGTTGGGTCTCAGGCTGAACGCCGCGTTTTATCGAGCGGCAGCGGGTGGACCCCAAACAGAACGCAAGCCGCGGTTTGCCCCGCACCCCCTCCCCCCCCCCCCCCCCACCCACCCCCACCCACCCCCGCCATCCCCACTCCCTGCCGCCAACCTCCGCACCCCCGACCACACACCCCAACCTCCCCTACCCACCCCGCCCCCCGCGGCCGCGCCCACCCAACCCCACCCACCGCCCACCCAACCAAGAAAAAACATAAAAAAAAAAAAAAAAAAAAAAAAAAAAACATAAAAAAGAAAGCACACGCGCGATACGCGGCGCAATCATGAATATCACGGGGGCGCCAGCCACGAGGCCCCGCGAGAATTAATCGCGGAGCGACGCCCACGAAACACCGAAACGACCGTCACCGCGTTGCGCCCGCCATCGGGCGTCAACCTCGGGGCGCAATCCAGATTCCCGATACTGCGCAAACCATGCGGCGCCACACGGAGCGACACCACCTCACGCATCATCATCCGCCTCGGGTACCAGCGCGGCGCGGTCGCGCGGCCCATTGTGAGAGGGCAGGGCTTCTGCGTGCAAACAGTGTTTGGGGAATGGCGAAACCCGATCGGGCCCGTGCCAGAAGCAAGCCCGCTCCCCTTCCCCGTCCTCGCTGGCTTCTCTCCCATGCTCTGCCCCTCTCTCTCGCAGTAGCGGCGGGGGGGGGGGGACGGGGGGGCGGGGTGGTGGGGGGAGGGGGCCCGTTGTGGGGGAGCGGACTCCTTTCCCTGATGAAAGTCCCCCCCCCCTGCAAGAAGCCGTGGGACTTCTTGTTCTTCTTCTCGAGCGCCACATGCCGATTCGAGCTCGGGCCCAACTTCCTCGGCGAGATGAGGAGTTTGGCGGGGGATGCCGGGAGGGGGGGGGGGAGGGGGGGGGGGGGGGGAGGCGGGGGGGGGATGGGCAAGCGGCAGGAGGGCGATCTGGAGGAGGACAAGAGACGGCATGACAAGGAAGAAGGATAGGAGGAGCAGGATGTCGCCTGAGGAGGAGGAGGAGAGGGTGGGGGAGGAAGGCTCGGAGGAGGAGGAGGAGGAGGACTGAATGAGGAGTTGCTGGGCGGAGAGCGGCCGCTGCGGTGGTGAGACGATTAGACGACGATGAACGACGCAGACGTCGGCGATGCGACGACGACGACGAGGGTCGGCGACGACGACGTGCGCACGACGTGCCACGGACGACGGACGCGCGCGACGAGCACCACGAATCACGAAGAGCGCCTTCGACGACGACCGACGACGACCGACCGACGACCAACGACCGACAAACGACGTCGACGTCGACGTCGACGTCGACGTCGACCGACGACGGCGACGACGACGACGACGACTCGACGGCGACGACGACGGCGACAACACAGACGGCCGCGGCGGCGACGGCGACGGCGGCGGCGGCGACGACGCGCGGCGGCGGCAGCGACGCAGACGGCGGCGGCGGCCGCCCTCAGACTTCATCATCCTCCTCCGCTCCTCCGTTTCCCCTTTCATCATCTTCCCCATCCTCGACTCACCCCCCTCCCCCTCCACGCCGCGCAACTCCCCCAGGAGCGGCAGCAGTCCTGAAGGAGGGAGACCGCCGCTGAGCCGCGCGGCGGGAGGACGCCCGCCCGCCGCGCGTGCTCGCGGCCTGTCAGCGCGAAGCGCTGGCCAGCCAGGATCTTCTCGCACAGCTCCAAGGGCAAGCGAAAAGCCTCCCGCTCCGCGGGTCGGGCGGCCGGAGGCGGGGGGGGAGGCACCTGGGGTTAGGGGCGGAGAGTGCGGGGGACGATGGAGGGACGAAGGGCGGAAGAGGGGGGTTCGGGGTGGGAGGGGCGGCGGGACGGAGAAAAGGATGGGGAGAGGACGTCGCGACGACGGAGGCGACGAGGAGGAGATTGGGGCGAGGACGACGACTCGACGACCGACGACCGACGAGGAGGAAGACCTGCGGCCTGCTGCCACAAGCATAGCCGAGGCTGGCCAGTGCATCTGCACCAATCGTGGGCACATCCAAGTTGCACACTTGGAGCCACGACTTCGCGCTGTCGGTCGGGATCGTCTTCGGACTCCCGTCGACCGCGGCGAAGCGTGAAATGCGCCAGCACAGCGGCTCGGCGTCGGAGGTCAACCCCTGCGCCTCTGTGCGCGCACTGCGCACTGCGCACCTCCTCCTCCCTCCTCCGAGGCCCGAGGCCGCCGAGGCCCTCAGCCTTCCTCCTCGTCCTCCTCCTCCTCCTCCTCCTCCTCCCCCTCCTCCTCCTCCTCCCCCCTCTCCTCCTCCTACCTCCTCCTACCTGCCTGCATCTGTGCGCGCACCTCTGGGTGCGAGCACGTGGCGGGGTCCACGGAGTCGCAGGCCGCGAGCTCCATGACCCCCCACGCGCGCACCGTCGTGGACGAGGCAGCGGCGCGACTCGCGCCGCTGCCCGCCCACTTGGAGGCGTCCAGCGACACCGGGAGGAAGCTGCGAGGAAGGAGGTTGCCCTCCTTCTTCCTCGCAGCTCCCGTCTTCTTGCGCCTGCCAGGGCCGACGTCTTCGACGTGCGGGAGCATGGTCGAAGAGGCGGGGGGCGTGCGGACGGGGGTGCTACTCTCTTGTGTGACTTCGCTCGACTACACAAATACGACAACGACAACGACGTCGACGACGGACAACGGACGGAGGACGACGGACGACTACGACGTCGACGTCGACGACCCGACGACTCGACGACTCGAGGACGGCGAGGCGGTCGAGGAGGACGGTGGTGAGGGACGACGACGACGGACGACGACGACTCCGACGACGGACGACGGCGACGCACGTGCGACGTACGACGTACGACGTAAACGGACGACGGACGAGTACGCGAGCACCACGACGACGACGGCGACAACGACGACGACGACGACAACGACGAACGATGAACACGACGACGACGATCACCACGACGATCGACGATCGACGACGACGACGACGACGGCGACGACGACGACGACGACGACGACGACGACGACGGCGACGGCGACGTCGGCGACGACGGCGGCGGCGGCGGCGACGACGACGAACGACGAACGCCTCCTTCCTGCCTCTCTCCTCCATCCTCCCTCCCCTGGACTCTTGGACTCCGAATGCCGCCCCCGCGGCCCGCGGCTCGTCGCGGCTCGTCCATCATGCCTCCTCCCTCCTCCTTCCTCCTCCTCCTCCCTCCTCCCTCCTCCTCGTCCACCCTCCCTCACTCCTCCTCGTCCATCCCTCCTCCCTCCTCCTCGTCCATCCTCCTTCCTCACTCCTTCCCCCTCCTCGGAGCCTCCTCCCCCCCCACCTCCGCCCGCACTTCCCCGCCCCGTCTCGCGGCGCCGCCGCGGCGGCGGCGCCGCTGGGCGCCGCCGCGGCCGGCGGCCGCCGCCGTGGCCCGCGCGGCCCGCGCGGAGCCGCGGAGGGCGGAGGCCCTCAGCCACAATGGCTGAGCGGCGCAGCACGCGCGCACGCGCGCGCGCCGCACCCAACCCCCCCGAAAACATTTCCGAAACCACCGCCCTCTCGAAACCGCACTCCCCTTCCACCGCACCCCTACAACCCACCGCACCAAAAAAACTGAAAATGGCTGTAGCATGTAATAAAAAACTGCAACATGTTAAAAAGAAGGTGTTTCTAAAAATCTACGAGTTGTAATCCTCCTCCTCCTCCTCCTCTTCCTCCTCCTCCTCATCCTCCTCCTCCTCCTCCTCCTCCCCCTCCTCCCCCTCCCCCTCCCCCTCCTCCTCCTCCTCCTCCTCATCCTCCGCCTCTTCCTCCTTCTCCTTCTCCCCCTCCTCCCCTAACCGAAAATGCGGCCCTAACCGAACATAACCTATGAAAATGCGGCCCTAACCTACAACATGCGGCCCTCCTGTACAATTACTAAGTATGAATACTGCTCTCCTCTTGTCCCTACCTCCTCCTCCAGCCGTTCGTTTTACCTCCTGTTCACCGCCTACCACCCCTCGAAAACAGGTTTCTCACACCCCGCGCCTCCTCCTCTTCGTCCTCGTCCTCCTCCTCGTCCTCCTCCTCCTCCTCGTCCTCCTCCTCCTCCTCCTCTTCCTCCTCCTGCTCCTCCTCCTCCTCCTCCTCCTCCTCCTCCTCCTCCTTCTCGTCCTCCTCCCCGCCCCGCAGAGCGGGGCGGCACGCCGTCCGCTCGCAGGGCTTCGTGCGCAGGTTGGGCCGCCGCCGCGACATACTGAGCCAAAATCCTCCCGGACCGTGCAGAAGCGCCCCTCCCCCCCGCAGGGCCGCAGCAGCAGCGCCGCCGCAGCCGAAGAACGAGGCCCGAGGCCCCGCCCGCCCGGCCGCAGCGCAGCCGTCACGATGGACGACCCGTGCGTGTCTCCGACCCGGCCCGCGGCCAGCTCCCGGCAGCCGCCGCCGATTCCCGCGGTGAGCGCCCGCGCGGGGGGCCCGCTGCAGGCGGCCGTGGCGGAGCACCTCTTGCAGCTGGGGCGCTTGCTCCGCGAGGTGCCCGTGCGGCCAAACCGGCTGCGGCGCCGTCGGGGACGGAGGGACACACCATGGCACGAGCACGAACTTTCGGTGGTCCGCGCGGGGTTCTTGGACCGGCGCGGGAGCCCCCTGGCAGGGTCTGCGGCGCCGCCCCGGGGAGTTGGTGGGGGGGGCAGCGCCGCTCCAAAAGATCCGCGCGGACCTCCAGGAGATTATGTTTTACGCGAGTCTCTGTCTCTCGAGGGAAGTCCCAGCGCGCCTCTTCGCCCTCGGTCCGAGAGGGGCCCTCCCGCAGATCCAGTGCATCAAGCAAAAATACAAGACGCAAGTCTCGCTATGGTCGGCCCTCTGCCCTTGCCGGGTCTCGCGAGACCGTCAAAGAACGCTTCAAGCTGAAACACCAGTCCCAGGGAAGGGGTCCTCTGGGGGCCCACGTCACGATATGATCACGGCGTCGGAGGTCTGGGGAGGGGGCGCCGGACGATGGGGTCCGGGGCTCCAGTCGAGGTGCTGTCCGCGGTGTTCAGAGGAGGAGGAGGAGGAGGAGGAGGAGGAGGAGGAGGAGGAGGAGGAGGAGGAGGAGGAGCAGAGGAGGAGGAGGGGGGGGGAGGGGAGGAGGAGAGGAGGAGGAGGAGGAGGAGGAGGAGGAGGAGGAGGAGGAGCAGGAGGAGGAGGAGGAGGAGGAGGAGGAGGAGGAGGAGGAGGAGGAGGAGGGGAGGAGCAGGAGGAGGAGGAGGAGGAGGAGGAGGAGGAGGATGAGGAGGAGGAGGAGGAGGAGGAGGAGGAGGAGGAGGAGGAGGAGGAGGAGGAGGAGCGGGGGGAGGAGGGGGAGGGGGAGTGGGAGGGTGGGTTTTGCCCAGTGTTTGGGCATACGGAGGCCGCGCGCAGGTCAAGCGGCGAGAGGGGGCAATCCCTGGCAGGGGAGGGCAAAATCCCCGGCGCAGGGCAGCGGCAGGCGGGCGCCGCCTCCCGCCTCGGCGCATCGACCGGAGCCCTGTGCCTGTAGCCAAGGCGCTGCAACGAGGGCCACCCGGGGCTCGGGCGAGGCCCCGGTTCTCGGGCCTCTCCCGAGAGATCTGCGGGGGCTGCCCTGTTTTGACACACCGGCTTGCTGGTCTAAGAACATTGCTTTTGGTCCTTAGAAAATTTTCAAGTTCTAACACGTCGTGGTAGGCCTGCAGGAATGCCGGGACAGTCGGTCCTCCTCCATTCGGCGCTCCCTGGCACGAGGACTGCACCCACGCAGGCCTGAGATCCGAGGTTGCGGCAAAAACGCAGCATCGCGACGAATCACGACTGGAGCCCTCGACTCCATCCTGCTGCTGCCTTCGATCGGGGGCTGGATCGACCTGCAGTGGCCCTGCGTGGCCCGAAGAAGCGAGGCAAGGCCGCTTGTTACGAACGAAAACAAGCCACGCCAGGATCTCAGTGAGGGTGGCGCTGAGACGCTGCCATATCCTCGATGGCGTCGGCCTTCGGGGGCCCACTTAGATGGCCGTCGGGGTGCCAAGGGGGATAGGGGAGTCTGTTGCGGAGGCGAATGTGTCGCCGCGCCGTTTGTTCCAACGCGCGGCCCTACGCCTTGGGGGCGGCGCCTCGGCCACCAGCGCAAAAACTCCGTCTCGGACGCAAGGTTCGCCGTGGGTTTGCCGCGGTGCTGGCGTCGTCTGCTTGGACGCCGGGCACTGGTTTTGCCGGGGGTTTGCCGTGGTGTCGGCGTCGTCCACTTGGGCGCGTCGAGAACAAACGGCGCGGCGACATGTAAGTTACGCCTGGCCTGACCTAGCTGATGAGCCCACTTGCTGGAGTTACGCAGCCCTCTTGATGCATTCGTAGCACTTGCAGCCCACTTATATGCTAGGTTCGGCCAGATACAGCCCACCATGACATCCACAACCCCGTCGCTGCGATCCGAAGTTGCGAAACAATGCGACGTCGTAGAAAGTCACACCCGGAGCCCCGGACCTCATTTTGGTGTGCCATTTTTGAGTCGGATCGATGTGTAGGGTCCTGGGGCCCGAATTTCCGCGAAAACGCCCGTTGCGAACAAAAATGCAACACCAGGATCTCCGGGAACCCTTGTGTCCCGTCAGCGAAATGTGAGCATTCGCGAGAATGTGAGGAGCTGCGAAACGTGAGCGTTGGCTCGCATGTGCGTGCGAGAAGGTGCTGCTGCAGGGCGGGCTGCGCCATTGGCGCTACGCATTTAGACCCCATCCCCACCCAGAGCGTCCGCGCAAGGAGAACCGTAACTCAGAGCCCCGAATCATCAGGGGTAACTCGGGTCAGGGCCAACTGGGGTTCGTTTTTCGGGAATCCGAACCCGAGTTACCGCGGGCCCGAGTTACCCCGGATAATTCGGGCGTCCAGAGCCCTAACTCATCAGGGGTAACTCGGGTCAGGGCTAACTCGGGTTCGTTTTTCGGGAATCCAAAGCCGAGTCACCCCAGGCCCGAGCTACCCCGGATAGTTTGGGCGCCCAAGTAACCGTAACCGTAACCGTCTATCCCCTCCGCAACCCCAGACCCCCGACGTCATGATTTTTTACACTACGTCGACCCCTGAAGGTCTGGACCCATTCCCCTGGACCGGTTTTTCACCCTGAGTCGTTTTTCGACGGGCCCGAGGCCCGGTAAGGGACCCTGGAGGCCGAAATAGCGAAAATACCGATTACTTGAGGGGGTCTGGGACCGCCGCGGTCCTCCAAGCAGAGGTGGATGCCGAGACCGGCGCCCTCGCGGAGCGCCTCGCCGGCGCGGTCGCGGTGAGCACCGCGGCGCTGTCGGCGGCCGGCCCTGGGGCGGCCGCGGTCCCGCTGGCGGGAGGGGACTTCGGCCGCCGCCAGGGCGTGCGGAGGTGCCCGGAGAGCCTCCAGGTGTCTAGGCCTCCTAGATGGGGTCGGAGTCCCAGTTATGATCGCGTCGTGCAATTTTCGGGACCCGGGACCCTCAAAAGAAGATTCAGGATGCAAAACCGGCCCCAGGAAAGGGTCGGGACTTCCGTGGACGCCGTCCTGAAAAAAGCAGGACGTCGCATGTCTGGGGTAAGTAGATGGGGTCGGAGGATCGCGCCGCATCGCCGATGTATCGCCGATGCGGCTCGAGGTAGGGTCCGATTTGCTTCACGTCGACGGCGCCGATGCATTGCCCACGTCGACGATGCATCGCCGGTGAATCGCCGGTGCATCGCCGATGCATCGCCGATGCATCGGCGATGCGGCGAGATCCTCCGACCCCACCTACTCGGACCCCATCTAGGAGGCCCCCACAGGCCGGTCGGGTTCGGAAGCCCGGGCCCCCTTGCGCCGTTTGGCGAACAAAGTCACGGAGGGAGGTGGGGTCGAGACCCCTGGGTCCACGTCATGAGCGAGAGGAGCAGTGAAGGATGAGCGTGTGTTTCCCCAATCAGTGCTTGCACTGAAGGGGTCCCAGGGGAAGATTTTGCGAAAGTGTTCCGCCGATTTGGGTGGCCGGCTGGGTTCCCGGTTCTGGATTCCCGGGCTCCTGGTCACCCTAGAAGACAAGACGTCGTAACCAAATCAAGCGCCCAAAGTATTTCAACTTACAATGGTTTGTTGCGTGCACGGGCGACACCAATTCGTCCTCTTGTTGGACCGACTTTGTATGAGAGGGGTGCATTGTTTTGATTTGTTTGCGCGACATTTGATTACGAAGTGTGATTTGGTTATGGTCTGGTTATGAAAAGCTCACATTTGGTTACGATCTGGTTACGCTACATCAAATTTGGTATCGATTTGGTTACGTTCCAATATGGTTACGATGTGCTTACGATTTGGCTAGATGGGGTCTGTCGTGGAAACGGATGATGTGCTCAAGTGCTGTCTGGCAGGGCTTTTGTAGTCTATAGTCTTTAAAGGGCCCCCCTCCGCGGGACGCGGACCGGCGACTGCACCGCCCCCCCTGCAAAGACCATGCAAAGGCCACCGTGCAAAGACCATGCAAGGACTATACCCTGCAAAGCCCCTGCAATACCCCAGGAGGCCCGAAGAGGCCTCCAGGAAGCCCCAAGAGACCCCCAAGAGACCCCCAAGAGGCCCGAAATAGGGATAACGGCGCCATGCGGAAGCACCCAGTGGGGCCATAGGTGGAGCTCCTTATGGGGCACGGAGGAGGAGGAGGAGGAGGAGGAGGAGGAGGAGGAGGAGGAAGACGGAAGACTGCAGGAGGACGAGGGTGAGGAGGAGGAGGAAGACTCCCTCTCCTCATTCATGCGTGTTTCTTATTATTTGTTCGGGGGGGGTGGACGTTCAGCCATCTTTTGCTACATCTTGGGGCATCAAAGGCCCACCGGGGGCGAGTAATTAGGCGATACAGCGAACATCTGCCTGACAGGCACACTGCATATCCATTGATTTCGCAATGTCAGGGGCGTATTTTGGAGGCTCCGTGGCCACGCTAAGCCAACACTTGGGGCTGTTCTTGAGGCCTTTAGCCATCATTCTGGAAACCACAGTGTACCAGCTTGGGCAGACGCCCTCCTGCTTCGCCCGCCCCCTTCTTCAGCCCCATCGGCAATGTCGAACATGGTCGTTTCGACATACGGTTATAAGGTTGTGATGATTTGGTTACGATTTGGTACGATTTGGTTATGAGTTGGATACGATCTATGTAACTGGGATATGATTTGGTTACGGAAATTGAACAGTATGGTTACGATTTGGTTATGCGAGCATCGTTCCCGAACGATATTGGTTACGGGATTGTTCAATGCACTTTGATAGCTCAAGTGTGTGAGGGGCCGCTCGTAACCATATTCTTCGCGTTTTGTTTACGCGCAACCCTTTCGAGCGTAACCAAATGATTTGGTTATGTACACAAATCATGCACTGATTGGGTTTTTTTCTCTGGTGTAATCCCTTTCCCTTTGGTCAGGGGCAACGTTGAGGCGGGGGTTAGGCGGGGGGGGATTCATCGACACCCAGCCGCCCATTGATCGCCGACAGGGGCCCGACAGGCCGCTCCTCAAGATGCTTGCCAATCGGGGGCCTCTCGCTGATCTATCGGCGATGTATTACCCCAGGTCGATGTGTTCCCCCCCTGAGCCGGTCCCCCTCCGACTCGTGTAACAGAAGTTTGCAAAACATGAATTGTCGCAGGTCCGCGCGGAGTTATTGTATCGGCGTTGGAGGCGTCCTGGTTGCGCGGGACGGACTTCCGAAGGTTTTTTTAGTCCGTCATTCTCTGCTCCCCGATTATACGCCCCACCATCACCGAGGCCCCACCACTCAGGGCCCCATTTGTGAACCGCCACCGGCAGGGGCCGCACGTGTCTCCGGTCCCGAGCAGCGCCAGCAGCTCCCACGGGGCCGGCCTGTTGCCCCGGTACCTGCTGCCGAGGACGCGGAGCAACACGTCCCTGCCAGACGCGGCTCAGCACAACAGTGGGGACAGCACGGTCATCAGGGAGGAAGAGGAAACATCATCTGCACGTCCGCGGACAGTTCTACACCGCCACCGTGCCTGGCAAGCGCCATCTGGGGCACAAGGACCAAGAGATCATCCGTCACCGCGGCTTCCCCGTAACGCTCTGGACGAATCTGTCGCGACCGAAATTCGGCCTCCAGTCGCGAATCCTGGCGCCGAGCGAGCCGCCGACGTCTTCGAAACCCTCACTTGGATCCTGAGGGTTTCTCCGAAGGGCTTAGCCGAGGCCAGGTTTTAGAGCGGGCCGGGCGTTTCGCTTGAGACTTCCTCACCATGTCTGGCTCTGAAGCTTACAAAGTGACAACAGGTTCACAGATGGAGGGCGGGTCGTTTTCAATATGTGGCTCTCGCTTTTGCGCCGCGCTCATGCGCTTTCAAAAATTGCAAGAGCTTCACGGATTGAGGGCGGGTGGTTTTCAATATGTGTCTCTCGCCTTTGCGCCGCGCACATTCGTTTCCAAAAAGTGCAAGAGTTTCACGAATGGAGAGCGGGTGGTTTTCAACATGTGGCTCTCGCCTTAGCGCCGCGCACATTCGTTTTCAAAAATTGCAAGGGTGTCACGGATTGAGGGCTTTCGTTTTGAACATTTGCAAAAGTTTCACGGAGTCCCATGATCAACCTACCAAAAATGGTGCTCTGGACGGATTCAGGATATATGCGGGTGCAACCGTTATGTTGATTCGTGGCGTTGAAGTCCCAGCAATGGCGTTCTGGCACGATTCCGGATCGTCAAGACGCAGCCGTCAGGTTGACACGTGGCGTTGAAATCCCGAGAACAATGTTTTGGCATGCTTCAGGATCTTCAAACGGTTGTCTTCCAAAGAGGCAGTCGCCCCAATGGAAATGAACCGTTGTAGGGGCCTATAAAGAGGGAGCTTGCAGGGAGGGTTCATTCCGACATCGTTGATGACTCTTGGGTTTACACTAGTCCTCTTCCTCCTTCTCCTCCTCCGCCTCCTGGGCAACCAGGGCAATCTGGAGAAGTCTAGAGTCAAACAGTGTGCAAAATTAAACAAAACAGAAAACTCAGGTGCCCCCCCCCATCCTCGTATCCTCGGCCTGGTACACCGTGTCCCGCTGGAGCGCCACGGCCGGGTCGCCCAACGGTGACCTGGCGATCGGAGCAGCAGGGCCAAGTCTGAAGTTGGTCATTGGTAACTTGCCGGCGAGGAGGGCCTTAAGTTCCTTAGACTTCGGGTTGGGGGTACACCTCTTCCGAAGAGATAAGGCCTTCGCTGTGGAGAAACAACCACAAGAGGCACAGAACAAAACTGGGGTCCAATGAGGGACCGTCCAGGAAACATGCAACTCGTGGCCCCCCAAGAAACCAGGAGTGGCCAGGACACGCTGCAGAGATGGGTTCAGCCATGGCATTCTGACCTGGAACACGCACTGACACGCCTCATACAGTATTCACAGCGGTAGTGGTCACCATTCCAATAAGGTGTGTGTGGGTCTTTAACACAACGACGACCCCGCGGGCCCACACTCCCCTTATTGAGCTCTCCGAAGGCTTCCCCTGGGGTGGGCCACTCCGCTAAAATTGTGGCCATCGCCGATTACAGTATGAAGGATCTCTTGAGGCTGCAGAGGGGAGAAGTCGTACATCTGGGCTCCCTGGGCAGCCAGCCAATCAGCGGCCTTGTTGCCTCTGATGGCTGTGAGGTCCTCGGGGCTCTCGGCTTGCTCCTCACTCCTGTGGGCCTTCGTCTTAAAGAGAGTAAGCCAACGAGTCGGGATATCACACGCAATCTTACGAAAGAAATTGCCATTGAGTGAATTGTGAGACAAAGCGCCCTGGGGGTCCCTCCCCGCTCTGATGAGGGCCTGATAGTCTACTGTTAGAGAGTTGGGCAATCCTCCTTCGGTATGGATTGCTCCAACCATAAGGGCAGCCCGTTCACCAGCCCCAGAGGTTTGGCCAAAAAGTTTGAGAACAGGTCCGAATAACCCACGGTGCAAGTCCCCTTGGTCGTCAAGCTCAACAGCTCCGAAGCCTGCGCGGGCCAACTCCCCCAACGTGGGTCGGATGCAGCTTCCATCAGGGCAGAGTTTCGCACCGCGGGAAAACTCAAAACGATCACAAAGGCCAGACTTATCTCGACAGTGCAACTCCCAGTCGGCAGCTGGGTCTGGGACCTCAAACTTGGGGAGCCATGCTCTCGTGGAAAGGAAACTGTCTGGTCCCGCCGCCAATGCATCTTGTAGCACTTCGGGGGTGCACGCTTCCGAAGGTATTTGTGCGGCAAATGGGCACTCCCAACAGCGATGGAAGGTCGTGTCGGCCTTCGCACAGTGCCTGGACTGGAGAGGCACCGAGTTACCCCACTTGCGAAGGTTCTCTGCTGTTGGGACCGCTCCTCCCATCACTTGCTTCCAAACCGAAACAGCTCTGGGTGGCAACTTATGTGCCGAGCGAAGAAACCTGGCCATGATTTCCCACAAAAGCCCTCGCTCTTGGAGGGCCGGGGCTTCTGAGCAGGGGTGACGATCGACAACTTTACGGGCAGCAATCTGGCTCCTCCTCCTCCTCCTCCTTCTCCTCCTCCTCCTCCTCCTCCCTCCTGCTCCTCCTCATCCATCCCTCCTCCCCCTCCCCCTCCTCCTCCTCTTCCTCCTCCTCGGAAGCCGTGCACGCTGCGTCTCGTCGTTAACGACATTCGACCTCCCCCGGTCGCGACCGAACTGTGGCGCGAACGAAATCCCTTTCGGGGGTGGCGTGTAGGTCCTTCCGGCTACGGTCAGAAGGGCATGCGCATCATACCAGGGCAGAGCGCAGGATGGCTCTGGCCGTGCCCAGAGATGGCTCATGGAAGCATGTGACACAGTCGTGCGAGGTCCGCGCAGATCTCTCGGATCGGCGCTGGGCTTCCCTTGCGGCGCCGTCGGCGCCGCCCCTGGCGCGCTCCGGGCGTCGGGTAGGCTGGCCCAGCGCGGCTCCAAGGGATCCGCGCGGGCATCCGAGAGCATGTCCGTGTCTGCGCAGCTGCTCCGCCTCTCTTTTGTGCAGGTGAGCTCCCAGAGTGTGCAGGCCCCCGTCGGCGTCGGCTTCAGGACGGCGTCCCTCGAGGGCTTCCACGGCAGCGTCCTCTCGGTGCCCTCGGGCGATTACTCGGCCAGCCAGTCGATCACCGAGGACGCCAACACCGCAGACATCGTGGACGTGCTGGCGCGTGGCGGGCCCAGGACCGTGTCCTCGGAGCGGCTCGGCAGGTGGACCCTGGGAGGCAGTCGGACCTTCCAGGTCCTGCAGAGTCCCTGGCTTGAGGCGTTCTGGGCGTGCCTGATAGTCCTCAACACGATCGTCATGATCACGCAGGAGGAGTACATGGGCGCCAAGGCGGGGCATGGCCTCGGCTACTACACGCGCTACGGGTCGCCCGAGTACAACAGGGCCTACTGGCCCGGCGCCGAGAGCGCGTTCCTGGTACTCGAGTCGACCTTCGCCGTGCTGTTCACCGTGGAGGTGTTGATCGGCTTGTTTTCCACCACCACCACCACCATAAGTTGGAGGGGGGAAGGAGAATGATGACGAGGAGGAGGAGGAGGAGGAGCAGGACGAAGAGGAGGAGGAGGAGGAAGAGGAGGAGGAGGAGGAGGAGGACCTCCTCCCCCTCCAACTTTTGGTGGTGGTGGTGGCGGAAAACAGGCCCATCAGGTGTTCCTGAGCATGCTGAGCAAGGGGCTGCGGTTCTGCAAGGACCCGTGGGAGCTGCTGGACTTCACCGTCGTGGTGTGCTCCGATCTGTCGGTGCTCTTCGTGCTCCTGTCGGCGGACGACAGCTTGTCCGAGGGGCCCGTCAATGTCTCGATGTTCCGATTACTTCGTCTCGCTAAATTGGTGCGGCTGGTGAAACTGCTCAGAAAGATCGAAGGATTTGACGCCTTGCACCTGATGTCGACGGCCCTAAAGAGCAGCCTCGCTGCGCTAGGGTGGTCTTTCGTTCTCATTGTGCTCTTGCAGACGTTCTTTGCACTAGTCATGACGTCTGTGATCAGAGTGTATTCCTTAAACGACAGCAATACCGAATTGAGCCAAGAGGTCAAGCTTACGGCCTTTTTATATTTCGGCACATTCGTGCGGTCGTTTTTCACTCTATTTGAGGTCGCGCTCGCGAACTACCCGACCGTCGCCCGGTTCATGGTCGAGGAGATTGGCGAAGGGTGGTTGATCCCCATTGTCCTATACAAGTTTGCCATAGGCGTTGCCGTCATGGGTGTTTTGAATGGCGTCTTTATCCAGGTGCCTACGGCAAGTCCAACCGCCGTGCAAGCTCTGCTTCCTGGGTGGCACAGCTGCGAGCACCGAGCATCTTCACATACGACATCTCTCGCGCTCACTTCTCGACGAGCCCTCATTGAGCTTATATGGGGGAGTTTGGGGGATCACTTTGGACCATCTCGGGCCCTCTTGGGCCGTCTCAGGGCACTCTTGGGCCCAGAATTGGTTTGCTTTGCCCAGGGCCCAGCGATCCTGCAAGTACGCATGTTTCTCCCTACTAGTACGCCTCGTGGTCGTATCAGTACGCCTACGTATCCGCACTCGCTCGATAGACCTTGCAAGCCGCCGTCTTAGTAGTACGCCTACATCGCCCTATATGAGTATTCCCTGCGGTATCAAACTAATAAGCCTACTTCGCCCTACTAGTACGCCGCGCGGTCGCACTGGTACGCCTACGTGGTTTTACTCGTACGATCGACCTTGGACGGCATGACCAAACTAGCACGCCCAGCGAGATCGCATTAGTACGCCTACTTC